GTTCCCGCCGTCCGTGGCCACCAGCTCCAGCCGGTAGCCGGCCTGCGCCTCCCGGTCCAGCTCGCGCAGCAACACCAGCTCGGCGCAGCGGAGGCCGTCGGCACGGCGCTGCGCCTCCAAGCCGAAGGGGCTGCCCGGCGAGAGGGAGAAGCTCTGCAGCCCGTTAGAGCCGGCGTCCGGGTCGTGCGCCAGGGGCAGCGGCAGGCGGGTGCCGGGCGCCGCGCTCTCCGACACCTCCAGGGCCACGGCGGGCTGCGGGAAGCGCGGCGCGTGGTCGTTCAGGTCCCGCACCTCCAGCTCCACGTGCACCAGGCGGAAAGGCGAAGCGCCCGGGGTCGCAGGGCCTCCCAGGCTCAGCACGTCGAAGGCCAGCAGGCAGGGCGACTCCGACGGGCCGCACAGCTGCTCCCGGTCCAGCCGCTCCGGGCCCAGGCTCAGCTGCCCGTCCCGCTCCCGCACTCGCACCAGCGACCCGTTGCCCGGCGCCTTCACCAGCCGGAAAGTCCTTTCCACTCCTGACGCGCCTTTCAGAGGCAGCTCGTCGGCCAAGGTCCCGATCACCGTGCCGGGCGGCTCTTCCTCGTAGGTGTGGTAGCGGATCGTCTTGCCCACCGCCGAGGCCAGCAGCAGCCAAGCCAGGCAGAGGATGCCCGTCGGGGAGCTTGGCACGGCGGGGCAACCGCCGTCTTTGCGGGCGCCCATGCTTCTCTGACTGCCAAGCGCAAAAAAAAGAAGAGAGAAAGAGAGAGAAGAAAAGCAGGCAGGCAAGAGGAGGGGGCGAGGCAGACAAGGCCCCTTCCCGACTCTCAATCCTCCCCAGAGCCGGTCCGCCGGGCGTCCCCGCCCCGCATCGAACCCGTTTTTTCCAGGAGCGCTGACTTCCCCCGCGGGCACCTGCTCCGACTGCGCCCTGCCTCGCTTCTTGGGCTACTAAAACGGACCCTTCCCCACTCGGGCTCTTTAATAGGCGAGGGTATGCAAATGAACGTCGCCAGGCAGCCAATCGCGGCTCGGCTTTCCTCCCGGGACCCCCGCCCCTGTCTAAAATTCTTTAGACCAGGAATAAAGCGAGCGATGGGGGAGAAAGACCCCCCGCAATACACTTGCGGGAGGTCGGCTCTGCGTCCCCCGATAGGGAGGAAAAAAACCGATCCGGAAAAATCAGGGACTTGAGGGGGTCTTGGGGGGGGGTGTCTTGGGCTTATTGGGTGCTGCCCCTTCGGGGTGTCCCCTCTTGGCTCCAGCGGGGCAGGGGGCTATCCGGGGAGACCCTCTTGGCAGCCCGTCGGAGCGGGAGTCTTCAGAGCGCGCCCTGGGGTTCAAGGGCGAGGGTCCCCGGGTCCCCCCTCCTCCCTCCCCAAGGGGCTCTTGGACCCGGATCCTCGCCAAACCCACTCCCAACTAATGGGGGGAAATGGGGAGGGAGTCGTCCCCCCACCCCCGAGTTGGCCAAGCACCCTGTCTCTATTTGAAGTGGGAAGGGGGCTGCTGGGGGGCGGGGGGGGAAAGGAAGAACGAGGGAGAGCGCGAAGCCGGGCTTTGGAAGACCCCTCCCCAAAATCTGCCTCAATGCCCTGGGATGGAGGGGCGGAGGGGAACCCGCTCGGTTCCCTTCAAAAGCCCCCTGCCCAACCCTCCGGTCCTGGTTCTCGGTCCTGGCGATGGGGAGAAGGGTGTAGGCGCTTCGCTGCGGGCTCGGGGGTCTCGGGGAAGGGGGGGGGCTCCCTTTTTCTCCCCCACCCCGCCTTCCTCTGGGAAACCCGACCGGCTTTAGGGGTGGGGGGGGGGAGAAGACTCCAAATCCAAGGCGGACCCTCAAACCTAGCCCCGATCGCACCTGGAAGGTGTAGCGGTCCCGATGGGCGACAGGACGCGGGGAAGGAGCGAGCAGAGGCGGCCGGTTCCCGAGGCAGCTTCTGGGCTTTCCAGCGCGGAGGAAGGAAGAGCTGCGCGGAAAAAGCGGGGAAGGGGCGGGCAGGAGCCGCCTCCCTTCGCCCGCCTTGCGCTAAGCCCAGCCCGCTTGGACCCGCAGATGCCGGAGCGCCCCCTCCCCGCTTCGCCTTCTGACAAGACCAGAACCCCCCCGGACGCCGCTTTGGCCAGAACCCCCCCCCCTTTCCCTCCGCGCCCCCAAAGACATCGCAGCCTCTGCTGCTCGCTAAGGGGGCTAAGCGCAGAAAAGGGAAGCCCCGTCCCCCCCCCCCGCCCCGAGTTACGAGGAGGGGAGGGCAGAAGTGCCGGTCACCCTCTAGGGAATCCCGGGTTAAGCTGAGTTAACCCCAGAGAGGCCTCGGGGGTCCCAATCGTCGTAATTCAGAATTAAATTGAATTAAATTTGTCGGGGGGGGGAGGGAGGAGGGGGAGAAGAGTGGCTCCCCTCTCCCCCACCCTCTCTTCTCCTTTCCCCTCTCTCATCCTCTCTTTTCTCCTTTGCTTCCCTCTCCCTCTCCCCCTTCCCCTCCCCTCCCTCTCTCCTCTTTCTCCTCCCTCCTGGTGTCCTGTCCTCTCCCTTCCCCTCCCCTTTCCCCTCATCTCTCCTTTCGTCTCTTCTCCTCTGCTCACCCATCCCCTTCCTCTCCCCTCCCCTCTCCTCTTTTCTCCACTTTCCTCTCCCTCTCTCTCCTCCTCCTCTCTTTCCTCTTTCCCCTCCCTCCCTGTGTCGTCCCTTCCCCTTTCCCCTCATCTCTCCTTTCCTCTCTTCTCCCCTCCTCTCCTGTCTCCTCTCTCACTTCCCCCCTCTTCTTTCCTCATCTCACTTCCCCTCTCCCCTCTTCTCATCTCTCCCCACCTCTTTTCTTCTCTGCTTCCCCTTCCCCTCCCTCTCTCCTCTTTCCCCTCCCTCCTTGTGTTCTCTCCCTTCCCCTTTCCCCTCCCCTCATCTCTCCTATCCTCTCTTCTCCTCCTCTCCCCCCTCTGCTCCTGTCCTCTCGTCTCCCTCCCCCACTCCCACTTCCCTCCTCTTCTTTCCCTCTCCCTCTCCTCTTGCTGTCCCCCTCCTCTCCTCCCTCTCCCCCTCCTCCCCTCTCCCCCTCCTCTGCAGTTAATGTCCTTTCTCGCAGTCCCCCAGTATAAGGGTCAGCTTCTCCTACCTCTGCCAAAGGGCCAACTGACCCAAGCCATGAGTTGGCCAACTGAGATTTCAGCAAAAACCTGGTAGGGGTCTGTCTCTGTAGGACTGGGTAGCCCCCCCCCCTTCCCTGGCTGCCTGCCTGCCCCACCCCCTCACCCCAACTTCCCTTTGGGGCGCTTCCTTAGTTAAAATGACGTGAAATAAGAAAAAACCGAAATAGCCCCACGGAAGAAGGAAATTAACTCAGCCAAGGAAGGAGATCTAGAGTGGAATAACCGAAAGTGACTAGCTGCTGGCCAATCATCCCTCTCTCTCTCCCTCCCAGGTCAGGAGAAGTGAAAGTGATTGAAACTGACATGGACAGGGAAACTGGCAAGGAAGTCACCCAAAGCCCCTTCCAGNCAGGAATTTTTAACAGAAGTCGCTTTCGGGAGTTGTGGGAGCTTCGTCACTGGAAGCTTTCAAGAAGAGACTGGACTACCATGTGTCAGAAATGGTGCAGGGTCTCCTGCTTGGGGGGAGGGGGTTAGACTAGATGACCTACAAGGTCCCTTCCAGCTTGGTTGTTCTGTTAAAAATTCCTGTGGGGTAATTTTGCCCAGTTAAATGCCACTGGACTTTGGACAATACCAAGTGGAAAATAATCAGGGTCTGTATACGTCAAAGATCCACCCAATAAGTAGATCAGTAGATCTACTAAACAATCATCCTGATTTGTCTTGTTCTTGATAGTAGAATTGTTCTCAGTTCCCGCCCTGAACAGAGAGTTAGACTAGTTGACCTCTAAAGTACTTTCCAAATAATGCATATTATGCTCCATCATTGTCCACTTAAAAACTACAGCTAACAAGCTTCTGGGCTAGGCTGACGAGAAAGGGGAAGCCCAAAATTATGGCGCAGACTTTACAAGGTGGCAGTGATCTAAATTCCAATTTAGCTGGCCTCTCCTTCCCATCATCATAACAAGCTCATTCAGACTGTCACTAAACTGATTTAGTTTGGAAATAGCAATCCACGGAACAGCTTGCTTACGCGGTATCTAAGGTTGCAATCTCCTTAGGCGGCCACTAGATGTCAGGAAAGACTTAAGAGTTCTTTATATCCTTTTTCTGCCTCTAGTGGTCACCCAGATACTTCAATATCGCCTGCGGCACGTATGTAGATAGGCGTGCTGTTCTTTTTCCAGGATAAACGTCGCTATGAGAAAATACAGAAAATAAGTCATTAATGGAAAGGAAGTCGAGGGCCAAAGATGATTAAGGGAAAGAAGAGAGAATGCAGTTTGCATTAGCAGTGAGACGGTGGTGACCAATGAAACGCAACCATTTTCACCCTAGATCCCTTTGTGTTGGTAAATGTATATACATCTCTGCAAATCTCAGCTTGCTTAACTATTCTGCAGGTGGTGCTACTGCAGATTTTCAATCATGAGCTAAGATTGATTGGTTTACAATTCAGGATCATGTCCCTTCTGTTTGAATTCACTCTGATCTGTTGATCTGAAACCAATGTGCTATGCTTGATCTGAGCTAAGGTGTTTGAATTAAGTCACTGGTTATTGAGGTAGGTGGTTTCAACTTCTTTCCCCGTCCTCCTCCTCTTCTCCTCCTCCCCTTCTCCTCCTCCCCTTCTCTTCCTTCCCCCTGTCCTCCTCCTCCTCTTCTTCTTCTCCTTCCCCTTCTCTTTCTTGTCCTCCTCCTCCTCCTTCTTCTCCCCTCCTTCTCCTCCTCCTCTTCTCCTTCTTTTTCTCCTCCTCCTCCTCTCCTCCTCCTCCTCCTCCTTCTTCTTCTTCTCCTTCTCCTTCTTCTTCTCCCTCTCCCCCTCCTCCTCCTCTTCCTCTTCTTCTTCTTCCCCTTCTCTTTCTTGTCCTCCTCCTTCTTCTCCCCTCCTCCTCCTCTTCTCCTTCTCCTTCTCCTTTTTCTTCTCCTCCTCCTCCTCTCCTTCTTCTTCTTCTTCTTCTTCTTCTCCTTCTACTCCTCCTCCTTCTTCCTCTCCCCATCCTCCTTCTCCTCCTCCTCTTCTTCTTCCCCTTCTCTTTCTTGTCCTCCTCCTTCTTCTCCCCTCCTCCTCCTCTTCTCCTTCTCCTTCTCCTTTTTCTTCTCCTCCTCCTCCTCTCCTTCTTCTTCTTCTTCTTCTTCTTCTCCTTCTCCTCCTCCTCCTTCTTCCTCTCCCCATCCTCCTTCTCCTCCTCCTCTTCTTCTTCCCCTTCTCTTTCTTGTCCTCCTCCTTCTTCTTCTTCTCCCCTCCTCCTCCTCTTCTCCTTCTCCTTCTCCTTTTTCTTCTCCTCCTCCTCCTCTCCTTCTTCTTCTTCTTCTTCTTCTTCTCCTTCTCCTCCTCCTCCTTCTTCCTCTCCCCATCCTCCTTCTCCTCCTCCTCTTCTTCTTCCCCTTCTCTTTCTTGTCCTCCTCCTCCTCCTTCTTCTCCCCTCCTCCTCCTCCTCCTCCTCCTCCTCCTCCTCTTCTCCTTCTCCTTCTCCTTTTTCTTCTCCTCCTCCTCCTCTCCTTCTTCTTCTTCTTCTTCTTCTTCTCCT